AAAGGACATTGGGCTGGGTGCTCAGCTCCCTAGACCATGGAGTGCCTGGTGCCCCTTTCTCATGGTGCCACAGACTGGTCAGGAGAAGTGAGAGAAGGCTCCCTCTCAGCCTTTGGAGAATCCAGACAAATCTAGTTTGAATCTAAATATGGATGGAGGCCAGTGAACCCCCACACTTTTCTCTGTCACCGCCACCTGCCCCATCCACTGAAAAGAAGGCTGCCAAGGAGAGGGCAGGTGAATGGGGTCTGCCTGCCTTGGCAACCTCACCTAATGATAGCTCACACTCATGGATTGACCACCCTAGGCCTAAACTTTGGATAGTTTGGGGAGAGGTAATTTGCTTAAGGAACCAGAGGCCTTCTGGGAAACAAGTCAAGACCCTAGCTCTTGAAACTCAGGGTGAGCCAGAGGTCAGATGAGCAAGGCCTAAGAGCAGGGTGGAAAGAGCAAGGGTCGCCATCCCTACTGAACCCTTCAGCCTTCACCTTTGTTGCTATGGCTGTCTTCTAGCGCTTTTCACTGTGACAACAGGAAACAGGAGGCCTGCAAGTTTTATGCCTGCAAAATGCCAGAGCCCTTTGTGTGAGTTATTTCATTAAATCTTCCAAAATGGCCTCATGAGAAAAGTATTGTCATCATTTTATAACTGCGAAAACTGATGGTTGGAGCAGTTAAGTTTCTTGCTCAAGATTACTCAGCAGTTATGAAGCACAGACAGGTATGAGGACCCCCAAAGTCCAGCTCTCAGCATCCTTACCCCAGGACACTGACTCTGGCACGTTTATTATACTTTTGTGTTCCTTGCTTATCCTTTTATCTCTTTCTAAGTTGATTCGATGTTGAAACCGTGAGCCGTTTAATAGTAGTTCATGTTACTGTGTCAGTGGCCACTGAAGAGATCCACAAGACGTGGCAGCCCAGGCGTGAAGCTTAAGAGTGCAGACCCTGGCTTCAGACTGCCTGAATTCGATTCCTGGGTCTGCCACTTATTGCCTGCATGGCCCTAAGCAAATTGCTTGATCTCTTTGTGCCTCAATATCCCCACCTATAAAATGAAAGTGATTTATCCTGATTCAATAAGCTATTCCAGATAAACAGCTTGAGCAGAAGCGAGCACTCTACTCACTGGTTGCTGCTATTGCTGTTTTCCTTGTACCTAATCACGCCTGTGCTGCTTGCCTCGCAGGATAGAATCCCAGGAAGAAAACTGCAGTGGTGAGGAGGGCACTTCTTTAGGAGCCAGGAGCCCTGGATTCTGAACCCTGTTCTGTCAATAACTCACTATGTGAGTTCAGAGACATCACCCTTAATACCTTAATACCCGCAGCACATGCCAGCTACAGCAAGTTTTCCAGGTCCATTTACCCAAGTGGTAAATGTAGTTGGTGTAACAATATTTACTGAACGTGTGTGGGCCAGATTGACCCGCCTAATCTCCTCTTACTCTTTATGCCCACACTACTGGGTAGACTCTTTTGTTATCTTCATTTTGCAAACTAGGAATTTGATGCTAAAGAGGTTAAGGAAGGTGTTCAGAGTCACAAAGCCAGGAATAAAAAAAAGCTGAGTTGAGATATGAACTCAGGGAGTCTGACTCTGGTTCACACACTTCACAGCTGTGCTTGAGCAAAGTTGTGTTAAAGCCATGATTAAGGTCCCACTTATAGCCAGATGGCCACCACTCTGCAGGATGGGGCTGGAGATGGAGAAATGTGGCATCCCCTCTCCACATTGGTTGTGAAGAGAACTGTCAATTCTTGCACAGAAAAAGGAAGACGTGACCACAAAGGAGGACTTTATTGCCATGGAGGTCAAACTATCCCAACAAAAGGCTCAAGTTGGCCCAAGGAATTTTGTCCTGTCAGGTAATGGAAATTGTTTTTAGTGGCAAGAATGAGCTCATTACAGATGCAGCTTGTGCTAATAATGATAATTCCCTGAGCAGTAAAATCACCTCTCTACCTTCCCCGCCAACAGATAACACTCTAGAAATTATAGGCTAGGGAGAAACAGAAGGGATAAAGATTAAGGAAAAGACTTGCAATGCAGAACTGCTTACACAAAGGGAGTTATAGATGTGCACATTGAACTTGGTGATCTTGACAATGAAGTTGTAGAAGAACTAGATGCTATTAAAGAATTGTTCACATTGCCTTTATTCAATTTGGTTACCTCTATCACTGGGTTGTGGTTTTTCTGGTTTTGTTTCAGATTTACAGCTCAAGTTATCTCTTAAAAGTTGGTGCAAAATGAATTAGTCAGTGACTTAAATATTGATGCACTGTAAGATCCCATGGATGGGAGTGAGATAAGGGCAGTTCCAAGGAGTCATTTCAGTCCTCACACCCCCTTAATTTCATGGGCAAGGACACCCCAGTAACCTTGAGCCCCTGGGAACTATCTGCAAACTGTTTGGGAGAGGCGGCCAGGCAGACATTCATTCCTGTCGCTCATTCCGGAGAGACCAGCAGAGATGCAGCAGGCTAGGCCACCCCGCCCCAGCAGCAGGGAGATTGAGCGCGATGTTTCCATTCCAAGATTGTGAGTTTCAACTCTTCCAGGGTTTTAAAAACACGGGAAAAAATCCCAACAGGTCACTGAGCTTTGCCTCAGCCCTTGGAAGGGAATACCAGCTATCTTCTATTGAGATGTGGGTTTTTTTCTTTTAACATTATTATTATCTTTTTTTTTTTTTTTTTTTTTTTTTTTTTTTTTTTTTTTTTTTTTTTCTGAGATGGAGTCTCACTCTGTTGCTGAGGCAGGAGTGCAAGGTGTGATCTTGGCTCACTGCAACCTCTGCCTCCCGAGTTCAAGTGATCCTCCCACCTCAGCCTCCTGAGTTGCTGGAACAACAAGTGTGCACCACCATGCCTGGCTAATTTTTGTATGTTTAGTAGAGATGGGGTTCCACCAGGCTAGTCTCAAACTCTTGACTTCAGGTGATCTGCCCGCCTGAGCCTCCCAAAGCTCTGAGATTATAGGTGTGAGTCACCATGGCTGGCTCTTCTTTAAACATTTAGTCTCTAAAATATTAAAACATCTTTTAATCAATTCAAATAGGGATTTTTTAATGATGTTTTTTCTTGATTATAAAAACAATACCTATTGGCTATGGAAAATTGAAAAAAAGCATAAATAAGAAAATTAAAATAACCAATAGGATCATCATCCAAATAACCTATCCTGCTAGCATTACAGGTTAGTGCCCCCTCCACCCTTTTTTAAAAACAAAAAGCAGGATGATAGTGTGTATGTGTTTGTGTGTATGAGTGATACACACACAGGTCTGCTGCACTTGGACAGTTTTATGACCTGCCTATTTCATGTATGGTATCCTAAGTATTTTATACAACAGTATTCTTTCATCACATCATTTAAAAATAATGAAATGTACTATAATCCTGAACTCTGCGGGGAAGGTGTTATCTGGTTTTGTGTGACAATCTCCCTTTACATACATTCCTGGTTGTTTTTCTGGACAAATGTTCTTAACCGTTCCTGTGTTGGGGACCCATGGCTGTCTGGTGAAACCTGTGGGACTCTTGTCAGAACAATATTTCCAAATGTTTAAAGCAAAATATATAAGATGACAATGGAAGCGATATTGAAATATAATCAAAATGTTAAAAAGAACAAATTTATGAAACAGCCATTTCTTTATTCTTATATTGAATAATAATATGTGAGAGAGTAGATCTTACCCTGTAAGAACCACCATGATTATAAAGAGATGAGCTTTAACATCATTCAAGCTGCTTGCCGACAGAGTCACATGATAGAAAAAGATCTGTGGTTGCCCTCGGGCTAAGGTGACAGGTCCTGCAATGGTTTGTGGTTTCTGGCTTACATTCATCAAGGAAGGAAATACTAAATTTTGCCTGGAGGTTGGTGAAAACAATGATGTAACTTTTTTCTCATCAGAGTTCTATGAGCTCCTGACTTCTACCCATGGAACCATGGGAGCTCAGGATGCCCAGGTGAAAATTCTTGCCTTGGAAAAAAACTCCCAGGCCCAGCTTGCTGCATTGTGTGGCTCTGCACATTTCTGAGCAGATGACAATGGTCTCATTGTCCCAGGAGCTGTTTTTTTAATTTCTTCTGCAGGCAGATGGTTGCTGAGGGAGGTCAGGGTGCCTGATGGTGGCAGGAGGATGTCATCCAGTGTTATGGCTTGAACTGTGTCCCTCAAAAGAAAAAAAAAAACGTGAAAGCCTTAGTCTCCCATACTTTATGTGACTTATTTGACAATAACTAGAGTCATTGCAGATGTAATGAGTTACAGTGAGGTCACAGTGGAGTAAGTCATGCTCCTAATCCAGTGTGACTCATGTCCTTGAAATTTATGGACATTTTATTAAGAATATAATAAGAATACATACAATATATAACAATAAAATGTAAGAAGATGGCTGTGTGAAGGCAGAGAGGCACACGGGCGGCCTGGAGTTAGTACCAAGAAATGGCTGCAAAACACTGCAAGCTAAGAATAGGTGAGGAAGGATTTCCCATGGGTTTCAGAGGAAGCAGGACCCTGCTAACACCCCAATTTTGGACTTCCAGGCTCCAGAACTGTGAGACAATAAATGTCTGTTGTCAGAAGCCACTCAGTTTGTGGAACTTGGTTGAGGCAGCCCCATCACACTGATATAGCTGGTATCTGCCAGCTGGACCCCCCTGGGGACTGGGATTTTGGAAAACCAGGGCTGGTGTGGGTGTGGTGTCTGCGCCGCTGTCAGGAACATGCCACACCAGGACCCAGGGACTGTTTGGTTAGGGGGTTGGGCTATGTCTTCAGTGAAGATCCTGGCCTGGCTGCACAGTGTTACCTTGGGGGTTAGGAACCCTAGCTCATGGTCAACATAACCTGGAGAAAACCCGCACAAGAACCTTTAGCCTGTGGAGAAGCACCCTCTTTATTCCCACATGTTGATACAAGGTCTTCATCATTAGTGAAATGCAACTGCCAACCACTCAGGATGCAGGTGGCAATTTAAAAATTCTTGTTATTACATTTCTTTATTGCTCATTGGACGTGATTCCAACATGAGAATGGCAGGTTTTAGGACCCCCCACTTAAAGTTCACCTCTTCTTGGGAGACTCTACGCTTCTACCATCCTGCATACTTTGCTGAAGACAGTGGCTCCAGATAAATCTTCCCACTGCATGGTACATTTGGTCTCTGAGCATAGCCATATGTCAAGGGAGTTCTGGGGTCCTCTCTCAGGGGCCTTCCAAGAGCAGGGCAGCTTTCACCTAGAAGAGAAACCATTCGTGTGAGCTGCAGGAAGCTGGCCCAGCTAAGCAGAAAGGCCACTGCAAACATTTCATCCCTTTCTAAAAAAGTGGTAGGAAGGAAACAGAGAGTCCTCCCTCACCTGGGATAGAAAAATCGGGATATTTTGGCAGCAGCTCTTCATGTTGCAAAACTTTTGGAGAAGGAGCAGAAGGTTTTCTGGTGCTAACTCCATATATTCTAAAACAAAAACAGAAGTCACAAAGTTATGAACCTTTTATTAAGAATATAAGAATAGAATACAAATATATAACTATAAAATATATGAACATGGTATGTTTATTTCCTTATAATTTATTCTAAAGGTAAAGATCATCATCCTCATTTTGCCGAAGAGAAAACTGAGGCCATGAGAGGCCTCCTATGCAGTGCCCTGGGGTCCCCTGCCTTCTCGCTCCCTCAGCACCCTTGGGCTTTAAGCCACTGCCAGGCTGGTTTTTACTCTCAACCCCTCCTTGCCAACCAGCAAAGACCACAGGTAGAGCTTCTGGGGAATGCTGAGCACAGGTCACGAGCAGAAGGCAGCTGCCTACTGAGGAAGTCTTGAAACTACAAATGAGGTACCTTCTCTAAGACAAATTACACACACATAGTCCTAGTGCTGGGATGGGGACATCTAGTAAACCACTGCCCTGGGTTTGCACTTCTCCCTTTGATCTTGTGTCTGGGGTGAGGACCCAAGACAGACTCACTCTTCAAATGGTTTCAGATGTGCTTTCTTGGCCCTCTCCATGATGTCCAGAAAGTCCTTGTAGCAGTTTTTGCCCATGACAGCGTATCTCGTTCCACAGCCTAATTCAGTGACCCTGGCTCTCGGCAGGTAGCCTGCCCAGCCAGGGATCGGGGGCTCCTGGAGAGGTTTCTTTACATATTTGCATTCTGTAAAAAGACACCATGTTTCTTGAAGGCTTTGGAAAGCCACACAGTGGACAGTGCTCTTGAGTTAGCTGACACCCCAATAGTTAACCTACAGTGAACCCCTAGGCCTACAGATGCACTGGCTGGTTGATTCTGCGGGCCAGCCACCACTGACTGGTTGATTCTCTGTGCCAGCCACCACTGATTGGTTGATTCTGTGTCATAGCCACCACTGATTGGTTGATTCCGCATGCCAGCCACCTTGATAGGGGGTTTCCAAATGGTTTATGATTTAACCATCTCACAAACCCTAAGAGGTTGGTACCATTATTACCTCCACCATCTGTAGGAGGAGACTGGGACCTTAAAGAGGTTGAGAGACTTGGCCAAGGTCACACAGCCGGGAGGTGGTAGAGTTCAGATTCAAACCTGGCTCTGTCTGATTGCCAAGTCCTCACTCAAACAGATCCTGCTTCTCTCTCGGGTTAGGTAGAAACCTACAGACATCCCTCCGTGACAGCTTACATAAGGGAGGGAACCAAGAGAGGCATCCAGATCAGATGTGGCACCAGGAAGTGGCCATCAGGTCATGGCTCTGACTCCAGCTGGCTGGGTGATCTTGAGCAAGCTTCTCTGCCACAACTGCCTCCCACTTCTGCAAGAGCCAAATTAAGCCACTGAGTCCCAGAACTTCAGAGCTGGAAGGTACCCTAGAGAACATCTAGTCTGTCCTTCCCTGCTGTGGATAAAGAAATCAAAACCCAGAGAGGGACAGCAAGCTGCCCTAGGTCACACAGCAAGTTGTTGCAGAGCTGGGCTAAATCCCAAACTCTTAGGCAGCTATTCTTCATAATACTTGGAAAATTTCAAAGCACAGCAAACATGTAAATTATCACATATTCTTGAAAGGTTCCCATATAATTATAGCAATAACAATAAAGGTATCAATCCATTACTTTTCCTGTCTTTAAATCTTTAAAATGATCTGATTGTGACTGTTATCATTATATAATCACATCATCTGTTGCTGTTGTTTACTATAAAACCCCTTCCCACCCAGCTAGTACTTGGAGGAGTTGGATTCAAATCCAGGTCTGACTTCAGGGTCCATTTGCTGACCCAAGCCAAGTGGCATTACAGCTAGTGCTCGACTTACGACCACGGTCGGGACCACGGACCGGTCGTAACACGATTTGGTCGTAAGTTGAGTAGGCTATATGTACAGTTGAAATGGTGCACGCAGAGATGGTAGTGCTGCCGGAAGCTGGTCCGCACTGTCGTACACCCAGCTGGGCAATGTTTTCGCTGCCAGACGCGGAGCAGTCGTGGCTAGCGATTGTGGTCGTAAAGTCGAATGGTCGTAAGTTGCATAGGTGGTAAGTCGATCAATACCTGTACCTCTCAAGGCCTTACTTCCCCTATCTCTAAGGTGGGAATGAATCTTGATCTCATGGAGGTGTTAAAGTGATTAGCAAAATATCAGTGCCTGGCACAGAGAAAGCAACTAAAATATGTTATCCATTGATCCAGAAGCTGAGACCTGAAAACTCATGACTCGCTTAGGGTCTCTTCGTTCTCAGACAAGCACCTTCCTCCCTAACCAGGGCTGTGCTCTCTCCCCTCGAAATGTAACTTTCTGGTCAACCACAGCAGTGGCTCATGCCTGTAATCCCAGAACTTTGGGAGGCCAAGGCAGGTTGACCACCTGAGGTCAGGAGTTCAAGACCAGCCTGGCCAACATGGTGAAACCCCATCTCTACTAAAAATACAAAAACTAGCCAGGCCTGGTGGCACACATCTGTAGTCCCAACTACTTGGGAGGCTGAGGCGGGAGAATTGCTTGAACCCATGCGGCAGAGGTTGTGGTGAGCTGAGATTGTACCACTGCACTCCCGCCTGGGTAACAGAGCAAGACTTTTTCAAGAAAGAAAGAAACAGAGACAGACAGATAGACAGACAGAGACAGAAAGAAATGTATCTCTCCCACTTTAAGAAATGGAGCCTTTGCATCTGGTGCTGACCCCTGGGATTTGGAACTGTGTGGGATTCTGGGCACTCTGGGACAGCTCAGCTGGCCTATGAGAATCTGCACGGGTGACCAGTGGTGAGGGAGATGGTTTCAGGGCACTGCTACCCAGGAGCAGGGGGTGGTACTGCCGATAGTACTGGTGCAGGGCCCGCAGGACAGTCTCCTCGGAGTTGACGGGATTCAGCTTCGGGGCAGTGGCCACTGCACAGCAGAATTCCCGCAGCTGGTCTTTATAGCGCTGTGTTTTCTCCTGGAAGGTTTTCACACAGTAGTTCATGTCATCCTCCCCGGACGTTCCTTGGCAGCTGAGGAACGGCACGAAGCCTGCAAGAGCCGAATGGAATCACAGCCTTCAGCAAGACTGGCCAGCAAGGAATGCAGAGCCTGCCTCAACTCCCCAGCACTTCAGCCCACCCCTTGGCTTTTCTTCCTCAGCCAACAACACTACGTTTTTCCAAAGGCCATTAATACAAGCAGCGCTGTTGTTTCCACTGGGGCCGGGCCCTCCCAAGGCCGCAAAAAATGACCTTGGAGCTGGAGAGGGAAGGCCCATTTCAACAAAGGCGATGACAGTAATACTCTTTGATAGCAAAGCCCCTGATGTCAGCCTGATGGAAAGTGGGGAAAGCATTTAATGGGCCCAAATGATAGTCAAAGGAGTAATTGAAATTATTCATCTTTTTAGAGAGAAAGCTTATTTTCCTTGACACTTCCCAAATGCAATTTGGGATCTTTCTTGCCGGACCATCAGGAAATTGCAGGCTTATTAAAAGCAGAGCCCTATTACACAAAAAGGTAAATTCATTATCTGCAGGACCCACCCCTAGAACAATTTTTCACCATTTCCCACCAAGTAACATATAATCATTACAATTAGTATGGGTAAAACACAACTATTTATTTAAACTGGCAGCTGAATCCTAAGTACTATAATATTGTCACAATAAAACCATTTTTTTTTTTGAAGAACAAATGAGGAAAACTGATTAAGAACTTGGTTTTAAACTACAAAATAAATAAATAAATATATCTCCTTATGGAAGCTCAACATTTTTGCCATGGTCCCCAGGAAAACAAAACCTGGCTTCAGAGTTGACAGCAGAAATCCTCACCCCCTGAGCCCTGCAATAACCCCTTATAGAAGAATCTAATTACTAAACTAATCTTGACCGGGTTGGAAGTTTTCCATGCACCGCCCAGTCTCCCCAGACCTTGGACAATTAAAAGATATCCTAATATTATGAGGGAGACCACAGAACCCTACAGTGGCACTTTGATCTGCTGAGGTTTGATATTAGTACATATATGCACATGCATAAGCTACAGGCTACCTTGATTAAATCTTGCTGAAGACCAAGACATTCAAAATATGTTATGTATGCTGGCTCCTTAAATCCTCACAACAATCTTATGGTATCCCATGTAGTGGGTTGAACTGTATCCTCCAAATAGATATATCCATATTCTAACCCCTGGTACCTGTGAATGTGCTCTTATCTATATATAGGGACTTCTCAGATGTAATTAAGTTAAGGATCTACAAATGAGATCATCCTGGATTTAGGGTGGGTCCTAAATCTAATGACTGATGTCCTTATAGATGAAAGAAGCAGACCTGAGACTCAGAGACAAGGGGGAAGTGCCATGTGAGAATGAAGAGTGACTGGAGAGATGCTGCCACAAGCCAAGAACACCAGGACCACCAGAAGCTGGAAGAGGTAAAGGGGGGGATCCTTCCCTAGCACCTTCAGAAAGAGCATGGCCCTGAGGACTCCTCCATTTCAGACATCTAGCCTCAGAACTGTGAGATAATCCATTTCCATTGCTTTAAACCATGTAGTTTGTGGTCATTTGTGGCAGTGGTCCTAGAAAACTAATACATCAATTTTATGGAATGTTGTACTTACCATAGAAAGGCAAGTTATTTACAGTCTCATTGATAGTAGCCAAACAGAGATTGGAACCTCAGCTTGTCAGAACCCAAAGCCTATTCTCAACCAGCCAGTAGGACCAGGGTGAGTCTGGGCAACCTTGGAATATCTCCCAAGCACCACTCCACACTTACCACTATAGCCTGGTATGATTGGCAGGTTTCTCATGAAGGTCTTGGAAGGCTCCATGTATGGGAGAGCTGGGGGTCTATGGGGACCACTGGGTTTGTCGCCCACAGGGATGTGACTTAGTAAGTTCTCAGTAGCCCAGAAACCTGAAGAGGACTAGCTTCTAGGTATGGCAACCAATTTTTCCTGGATTGCCAAGGATTGAGGGGTTTCTCAGATGCAAGATTTTCAGTGTTAAGGAAAGCCTCAGGCAGTTCCAGAACAAAGACAGTCTCAGACCAGGGCAGTTGGCCAGCCTTCCTTTAGAGGATGCAGAAAGGAATGGGAATACAAGAACAACATTTGTGGGGGACTTGAGAAAACCAACTTGGGGAGGACAGGGCCTCAACTTATTCGTGTGTCTATCCTCACCACATTGTGTCTATCCTGGTCCAAATTCATTCAACAGCCATTAAGTGCTTCCTCTGCACATCAGGCCATGTTCTGGGAAATGTGGTCTAAGTTCTGACTCTCAGAGCCCAGCCATCAGCCATCTTCAACAATGGAATGCTCTCAATGCATGTCTCAAAAGCTAGAGCGCCTATACTGGTCCAGTTGGCTGCACGGACACGGATAGTGGGTCAAGGCAGGGACAGAGACCAGGAATAGGGTTCCCCTGCCAGGCACAGCTGCAGGGCACATCCACACTTACCGCTATAGCCTGGTATGATTGGCAGGTTTCTCATGAAGGTCTTGGAAGGCTCCATGATTTCTCTCTGTTCATGGAGGAAAGGGGGAATGAAATGGCCTCATCAAAAGTCACTGCCTTAAGGAATTACTGTTGAGTGTGCACAAGCCCTTGGGAGTGGGAGAATGACCTTGCCAGGGGTTGGACCTGAGAGGCAGCCCTACCATCTTACCCAAAGCCAGCAGACATAGCTGACTTCAGTCACAAATCAATGACCTATCACCAAGGGTCCATCACCTTTTATGTTAACTTGGATAACAGTGTACAGATCACACCCACCAGCATCTCCTCTCCCTGGAAGCAGCCTCCCCTCCATCCAACCTCCAGCCATCCAACAATTGTGAACTGTACTCATACTATGGCCCTGTGAGTCTCATGAGCCTCAGTGGAAGAAAGAGATGAGGCCTGCACATCCCCGGACCCCCTTCTTGATGCAAGTGAAATCAGGTTGCAGTGGTGATGTTTTGCCAGCCCCATCACCCCTGGAACATCTGGCAATGTCCAGAGGGATGTTTGGCTGGCAGAAGTGCAGAATGGAAGCTACTGAACATCCTGCAATGCACAGGAGCCTCTCCCAACCCCTACCCCCAACCCCACCATCCAATACACATAACAAGGGAGAAGAAGTTCTGGCTTGAAGGGATCAGGAAGTCCCAAAAGGCAGACATGGAGTCCAAGGGAGGTAAGCAGAGGCCACCCTTTACTTCAGGGTGCTCCGCTGAAGCATCACTTTATGTGGATGCTGTTTCTGGAATAAGATAACTTCCCTCTTTGGGCATCACTGGTCATTCCCCCAAGTGGACTGAGGCCTTGCCAAGTCCTGCCCTGCTGATCCAGTTCATCTCTTTAAAGTAATGCCCTTGAGGCTGGAAGAAGGGGATTCAAGGTGGAGGAGAAAGCCACAGTCATGGCTTAGTCAGCAATGATGGGGATCGCTAAGGCAGTTCAGCCCCTGCCAGGCTGACAGCAGTGAGGACTGTGCCACGTCTAGGCCAGTCTAACCCCTGGCATCACGTTCCTGGCTCCTGGGAGGAAGCACTGGGCCTGGAGTCAGACAGACCTGGCTGTGAGACCATGTCCCACCCATACTGACCACCTGCTTGCTCTTCTGAAAGCTTTACATACCCCATGATATAAATGCTATATTATACCCATTCCCCGATTTAAAAAGGCAACAGACATGGAACCCTGGCGATGCCCATGCTGCTGAAGCAGAACCCCATTCTCCTTTCATCCCCACAGCTTCCCTAAGAATGAGTTCCTATTGGAATTATCATTTTACAAATGAGAAAAATAAGGCACAGAGAGCTTAGATAACTTGTTTCAGGGTTCCAGAGTGAAAGGGGGTGTGAGCAGATGACCTCTAAACTCTCAAGGGCAGGATAGTTGCCCAAAAGCATCAGCTGGTATAATCCCACCCTGAGGCCTGCCTGGAGGAGGTGGGCAGGGAGGAGGGTGGGGAGAGAGGTGGAGTCCTGAGACAGGGGGCTAGGAGGGGGTAGAAAGTACCAGCAGGACCCCTCCTAGCCGCCCCTTCCAATCCCAACCCGGGGATCACCTGGGCAGGCCTGGATCTACCCGGTGCCCACCTGTCCTCTGCCCGGTGTCCCAGGCTCCCTGCCTTCCACCAGGCCTTTGTGCGCTCACGCTGTGGAGCACAGAGGCCCCACTCCCGCCAGCCTGCCCCTCCCCCACTCTTCCCGGACCCCACCTGGAAGGCAGGTGAACTGAGTGAATTTGGGGCGCTTCCCTCAGCGCCCCGCACAGCCCGGGCCTCCTGGTGTGCAGTCGGGCATCTGCGAGCGAACATCTGGCCTCGGGGCTGTCCTCTGCGCCTTGGCTGCCCCAGCCAGGGCAGGGATCTGCGGAGGGCTCTAGGTCAAAATGGACGTTTTTGCTGGTGTAGACACTGCGGCGTCTGGGCCTGGAGGTCTGGGTGGGGAAACGGTTGCGCGGGAACAGGCGGGAGGGTGCAGTGCTTCGAAGCTGTGATGGGGACCAGCAGCAGCGGGCGGGAGGAGGCGAGGCCTGGGGACCCTGGCGCCTCCCTCGCGGGAGCTTCCTGGGCCAGGCAGCCCCTCCCTCACGTCCCCTGTTAGCAGAGGCGGATTTGCAGGTGGCCAGGATAGGTGAAGGCAGAGAGGAGAGTCTGTGCACCTGGGGAAGGTGAGTCATCCTTCTTTCTAATCATCCTTATGGGGCACCCAGCCTTCCTCTCATTGGATTGAAACCCACGAAGATGTCCGCCCTATGAAACAGATTTGGGGGGAACGGGGATTGGGGTGTCGGCCGCGCGCTGGCTACTCCGTTTACAGAAAAAGACGCTGAAGCTGCGAATTCCAGCTTGTTTACTGCACCTCCCTGCCTTCCCTACCTCTACTTTTCTGAGAATTGAACAGCAAATGGGGGCTGCTGGAGCCAACCACCATTTATACGTCACTTTTACCCCACATTTAGAACTTACCTCGGGCCATCTGGAAGCTTTCAGAGCCAACTCTGGAGGGTGACCCAGGTGTAGGCTCTGGACACAGCCAGTGTCACGAGACATGAGACGGCTGGGATGCCCAGGGGCAAGAGCCTGGCCAGGCCTTCTGCATGTTTTAATGACTTTCATTTGGAGTGCAGTGGCGTTGGAGGTGGTCACCCTGCTTATCTGCCCTCCCTCTGGCTAGATCACTTTCTTCTAGAGAAAAGCGGCTCTGTGCACACTGATGGGGGCCTTGGTTCCCAGCAAACAAAGGGCCTCCTAGTCTTGTTAGACTCACTTATTAAAACTCACAGCACCTGGAAAAAACTGAAACGTTCTCTCCACCACCTGAGATGGGTAGAGAGGGAGGTCAGTACTGATGTGTCCATCACGCAGTTTACAAACCCAGAATGGGGGGAAAAATCTGGGCCACATGAGATTCAGAGTTTTGCTTTATTAGACATCTGTGAAGACAAGAGAGTTTGTAGACACAATCCTGTCTGTGGTGAACTGCTGCAAAGTTCTGTGAAGTTTGAATTTATCTTGTAGTGAAAGAGACCTCAATAGCTGATATTTTAGAATACTGGTCCATATTTCAAGCAGATGAGAGGTGTGACATTATGGCCAACAACTTTTATACTAGTCATCCACTTAAGCCGTTTCCCAGCATACATATGCAGCTTAATCACAGATATTACATCTCTACAATGTGAAATTCGATCTTTGACTAATAATGCATTTTGACTCCTGTTTATATTGGTGCATGCGCTTCTTTGCCACCCTGGCAATTAACCAGACCTGGACTCTAAAAGCTAAACTTGATCTAAATAACATTCTAAGGGTAAGGCAGCCTCTATAATCTGGACTAAGCCATCATTTTGCAAAAACAGTTGTATGGTTCCTCCTCTCTCCCCTCCTGCCTGTAACTTGTCTGTTATTCAGCATTCATTAATGCTTACTGTGTACAGAAAGGGTGGTTACAAAGGAAAGCCTTGATGATTCTGCTTCCAAGAAATGTGAATATCAGATAATGTGTCTTGGACAATTGAGCAATGGGTCAAGACAACAGGCCTTGTAGATACTTTCTAAGATTTGAAAATGTGTTCAAGTGTACTTATCCAGTGCTCTTATTCTAGAATATTCCAGTGGGGGTAGGGAAGGAGGGATGGATTTGGGGGTTTCGATTAAGGACTCTGACTACTGGGGCTGCAGTCCTGTGGCCAGAAGATAAACTTATCACCCTCTCTATCACTTATCTACCAACACTGCAGATTTCTATCAGCTCATTTAAGAGAAACAGTACACAGGGAGATAGCATTACTGCAAGGCAGGAAAGGCTTTACATTAGCCCAAAAAAGAGGGGTTACACTTAACACTTAACCCAGCAGAAAAGTCGGGCTTATGAACCACTTGATTCCGTTCTTTGACCCTAGCATCCTGAAAACATCACACACAGTGGACCACACTTTGCCCTCGGAGTGACTGCTCTGTCCCAGAAGGAGGGGTCAACGACCCCTCAGGATGCACAGGGTTTTCTTAGGTTGTTCTGCACAGTCACATTGCTTACAGAACCAGAATGTTCAGCTCTCAAAGTCTGCACAGGAGAATGGACAGAATCTGCTCCTTTCAATGGAATCTGTAACTCTTTGGGAAGGGTGTGCATGGAGAAGGGTCTGATGAGGCTCCTGATCCAGGTGGTCCATGTGTGTTCAGTGTATTCTGACCCTAGGCACCTCTGTCTATTGCTCAGTCTTTCGTACAAAGTCCATAGCTTGGCATCTGCACAAACTGATGCTTAGTAAGCACAATTAAGAATGAAACTGTGGAAAATTAAGGACAGTAACAAAAGTTTCATCAACAAAAATCAAGGAGCATTTTCCTCTTTTTTAAACAAGAAAAGCGCATCATAAAAACAAAGATTCTGTACAAGATTCTAATATTATATGTACATAAAATTATATTACTCATAACTACACTGAAAAGTCTTATTTGCAGAATATGGCTGGCAACAAAGAAAGACCCATACCATTTAGCGTTTAAAGCAGGGCAGGTAGCAAGAGAACACTACAAACACACCTGTGTGCCTGGTTACATAATTCTGCTACTAAGTTATGTGAGTAGCGCTCTCTAGTTCTGTGATTTTTTCGTGTTTCACATTCTAGTAGGGAATTCTGCAGCAGGCAATGTGAAAAAGAAGACATGGTCAAATGAAATGTGAAATGCTATTTAAAATCTGCATATTGGCTATGATAATGGGTTTGTGAATCCAAGTTGCATTGGAAGTTCACTCATTCTCCATTCATTATGCATGCCTCCAGTGATTTAATGAATTCCAGCAGGTGGAAAAGACAGCTTTGAACAGATCAGATGGGCTGTGAGTCAGATTCTTAATTCTTCTGCCTCATTTGGCTCCTGAATGTTGCAGAAAACTGGTTTTGTACAGTGGGGAAGGAGAGAGTGAAAACCCTCCAGTTGGTTCCTCAGTCAACTCCATTCTTAGTGTCCCTTTCTTGCAATTCTTTCCTCCCCTGGCCTTCCTGTGAGGTTTAAAAGTGCCATCTCCAAGCCAGGCAGAGCCCTAATCCCGTTCACCAAGAAGGCAAGGTATGGGGTCATCTTCACATGCAAGCCCTCTTCCTAAAAGAACCCAACGAAGACAGCTGCACACTATGGGCTATGGTCTGTGTGTGAGCTTCAACAAAATCTCAAGTTAGTATTTCTCAAATTTCAGTTGAATCACAATGCGGTTCATACTACAAATGCAGATTCTGGTGCCCCTCTCCAAGAGTCAGCCTCAGTTAAAAAAGGCTGGGATCCAGGAACCTGTTTTTGAACACGCACCCAGGCAATTCTGATGCAGGCGAGCCACAGACCTGCTGTGAAAAAAACTGACTTAATCTGTCAAGTATAGATCTACAAATTATTTTTAAAGAGACTCAAAAAACTGAAGATATTAATGAAACATTGCATAGCACAGATTCTCTTCCCAAATTTCGCCAGTGTATCCCTTTCAAAATGTGGGACTAAATGGCCAAAACTCTTAGGGAGATGAAGGTGAGTGGGAAGGAGGAGGGGGTTAATTTAAAATCTGTCTGCTCTTCAAGGCGAGAAGCTCTTCTGGATTTCTGGGCTTGGTGATGCAAATAAGACCAATGGCAACCTCATTTTCTTACCCAGAATTCCTACTGAGGTTCACTAGAATTATGAACTCAGAAATCAGGTCTTGGCATACTGGGAATTTATATCCCAGAACATAATTTGGGATATGTCAGTAACTCTTTACTATCTATTTCCATCATGGCAAGTTTTCACCTGCTAAGAATGTGAGGTATCAGCTCTCCTACTCACAAAAGCCCTAGTGCATTACTCAAGGCTACGGTTATTCTTCCCTGAGCCTCCTTAAATTATATGAGAACCTAACACAGTGCCCAGTGTAGGCAGCCTTCTACCACCAGCTAAAAACATTCCCAATTTCCACTGACTCACCACTTTTAATCACATGATGATGAAAATAAATTAACTGCAGATAGGTGCCATTTTATACTGACCACCGTCCAAAAAATTTCAAAAGAGAAGACTCAGATGAAATTTCCTGACTCAAAGATCTCATTTTAAATCTAGAAAGACAGCAATAGGGCATGCTAATTCTACTTAACAGAGATCTGTTGCAACCACTGCTGCAGAAATGGACAGATTCCCTTCTCCACGGCTGTTTCACCACTTCTGTACCTATGAAAACTAGCTGCTCTTCCAGGATCCTTTAATTTTCTATGCCTAAATCTTAATCTTAATTTCTGTTTTTCCAATTCCAGTGTGCCCTCAAAACTCACTATTTCTAGCCCTGATTATTCTCATTTTCCCTGCTGAAATTCACATGGGCAATGGTGAGGGTCAAGGTTAGGGAAAAAACAGTCAAGGTTGAGGTCAGCAGATGCAGATAAGTTGAGTCCCGGGGGGCAGGCAGCGGAGTGGGAGAGTTAGTAATTTAAGAAGTCGATCCCAACTTTGACACTCTTCGAAGTGGCTATATCAATGGCTGTGGCTTTGATCTCGGTGTCCCCGAACTGCATGAGGGTCTGGATCTCCCTCCGGGCAGGCACCGCAGTGCCACTGGTCCCCGTGAGATCCAGGCGGAGCGTGCCGCACTTCTTCACCCCAGGATCAGTGATGAAGCTGACGTCGTCATGCTCAGAGCTGTAGATGTTGATGACAATGACCAGCTGGGAGGGCTTGGCCGGGGTGTAGCTACGCTTGACCAGCTCACCAAGAGCCACAGACTGGTCAGCAGAGATGAACTTGTCGAAGACATCGGTACACCACCGAGTGCCATCCTTCACCAGCAGCTTCTCGGGTGGGTGCTTGCCCTCCACGTAGCGGTTCAGCACACCCACCCCGTAGGTGAGTGGCGACCTGCGCACCTTGATGACCGCAGGGTCCAGGCCAAAGAGGACGGCGCCCTTGAGGATG